TAGTCTATTGTTTTTAAAAAGAAAGTGGAATGAGATCAGGAAGAGATTGCATTGTATCTGCAGTCTCTTTGACTCCTGGCTTGTTAAAGAAGAACATTGCATTACAGAATTCATGTTTGGGTCAGCAGGATAAATTACTAGCAACACTGGTTGGAAATATAACTGTGTGAAATACAACATCAACATTTGAAATCTAAATTCTAGTTCTGAGATTATTACATAGTCAAAGATTCCTATCAGAGCTTTTTTTCTTTGTTTTCCTCCAATTAGCAACACTTTAATGTTTTGATTTTGAGGTAGTAATGATAATTTACTACATGTTTTACAGAGATATTTCATCCTCAAATAAAGTGTCTGAAATATGCCTTCTTGGTACTGTGGTGGCCAGATATAAGTATTTGCTTGTTTCAAATTGATAGCTCTGCTGGAAAAAAATATTCTCTTTACAAAGTACTGCTCTGCAGATACTATAGGTGACTGAAATGTATCTGCTACAAGCTGGGACAGAAATCCTTCTGCTTCAAAAGCAACTCTAAGACTTCCACTGATTTAATGAAATAATTTTTCAGAATTCAGGTCTGTGTATTATACTGGAAAGGATACATTATTATATTGAGTGTAAACTCAAATGAGCCAACCCTTTCCAAGCTACTAGAAAACCCCCAAACAATTAAATAAGAATATTCAATATCAGTAATACTACAGGTAGTGCCATTCTTCTTCTGTGATCTGGAGGATTCAGCTTGCTCCCTAGATGTAAAGACACCACTGACTACACAGAGTCCAAACCACAGAAATGTTTGGAAAAATGAGATGATTCAGATGCTACAATCAGTTTTGGTTCATTGTGGAATCACAGTTAGAAAAGATCCCCCATGTCAAGCCTCCAAAGCCCTCTACAGTGATAAATCCTAATAACCCAGACTGGGTTTTGCTTTCACATTAAGCCTTCCCAAAAGGGAGACTGAAATTCAGTCACTGCAGCTCAGTCACTAGGCACTCAAAAAGTAACAGTGTGAAGTTGACTTTTTTACCAGAATCTGCATTTGTCAATATACTTCTTCCCTTTAAAGTTCCAGCAACTGTAGGAAAGAAGATATTGGGCAGGAGTAATCATTCTGATGGAGCCAACCTTGCTCCTGCCACTGCTATGATAGAGCAAGACTACAGCAACATCCCTTGTCTATGCTATAAAGAAATTAATTATAAGCAGAGGAAATGGCAGCACAAGAAAACTCCATTTCCCTTCTACCAGAGATCCTCGTGGTGTTGCCCACCTGTCAGAAATACAACTGTACTACAAAATACAGCCTAATACAGTCTCATAGTTCCCATGGCTGTCACTACATTCTACTTAACCCCCAAACAGCAGCTGAGGGTAAAGGAAATATCTGCCCAATGTTGCATCATTGAAACAACACTGAATACCTGAACACACATCTACTTAAGAGTAACTTACTTGCTGAGGTTCAAATATACAAGCCAGACTCACACTTAGAAACTACAAAAAACAAAACAAAACCACACCTGAACCACACAAAACCCCAAACATAAAAACTATGAGACCTGGAATTTGTTTGAGCTTCCCTATCCTGTAGTAATCATCTTTTCTAAGCATTTCAACAGCCTACTTGACTATGTTTTTGTTGAGGCCAGTGAGCAGATTCAGGTCTGATGACCAGAGAATGAATTGGATTTTGGCCTTTATTTTCATGGAATATACAAGATTAATCAAGATGAGGATTACACGTGGAGTGACTCATTCAGTCTACATACTTCACTCTCTATTGCAAGGATGAATCCCAGATCATGTGTAAGGATACTGGTCAGCCCAGCCCACATCTGCTGGCCCTGCCCAGCCCAAACTGCTCTTGCTGGATTGTATTCAGACTAAGAGTCGTCAGCACCAACTGTCCCAAAGACCACAGTCTGCAAGCAGCTACCCTCTTATCATGGAATCATAGAATTGTCTTAGTTGAAAGAAACCTTTAAGATCATCAAGTCCAACCATTAACCCAGCACTGCCAGGTCACTACTCAACCATGTCCCCAAGCACCACATCTACACGTCATTTAAATCCTTCCAGGGTTCCTGACTCCACCACTTCCCTGGGCAGCCTGTTCCACTGTTTAACAACCCTTTCGGTGAATAAATTTTTCCTAATATCCAATGAAAACCTCCCCTGGCACAATATGAGTTCATTTCCTCTCATTCTATTGCTTGTTACTTGGCAGAACAGACCAACACCCACCTCTCTAAAATGCCTTTTCAGGTAGCTCTGCATGAGCTCTAATAATAATGAGAGAGCTCTAATCTCTGTTACACATGTCTATAGGAGTAAAAAGCAGGAAATAAATCTCTTTTTATTTCTTTTTTCTCTTAATGCATTCCTCCCAGCTTAGTGTCATCAGCGAACTTGCTGAGGGTATACTCTGTACCAGTATGGGAGTGATAAGGTCTCCCCTCAGCCTCCTTTTCTCCAAGCTAAACAACCCCACCTCCCTCAGGTGCTTGACATAAAACTCGCTCTCTAGACCTTTCAAGAGCTTCATTGCTCTTATCTGGACGTGCTCCAGCACCACGATGTCTTTCTGGTAGTGAGGGGCCCAAAACTGAACCCAGTACTCAAGCTGTGACATCACCAGAGTACATGGTACACTGGATGGGGGGACAACCCCTGGCCCTACTCCTGCTGGCTACACTACCTCTGATCCAGGCCAGGTTGCCATTGGGCTTCTTGGACACCTGAGCACACTGCTGGCTCATGTTCTGGGGGCTGTCAGCCAACACTCCTGGGTCCTTTCCTGCCAGGCAGCTTTCCAGCCTCTCCTCCCCAAGCCCTGTTGCATTGCCTGGCGTCGTTGTGACCCAAGCACAGAACCCACCAAGTGGCCTTGTTAAACCTCAACCTCAGCCCATCAATCCAGCCTCTCCAGGTCCCTCTGGAGAGCCTCCCTACCTTCAAATAGATCAATGCTCCCGCCTAGGTTGGTGTCATCTGCAAACCTACTGAGGGTGCCCCTTGATCCCCTCCCCCAGATCACTGATAGATATTAAACAGAACTGGCCCAAATACTGAGACCTGGGGAGCACCACTTGTGACTGGCTGCTAGCTGGATCCAACTCCATTCACCACCACTGATGGGCCTGGCCATCCAGCCAATTTTTTTATCCAACAAAGAGTATGCCCATCCAAGCCACCAGCAGCCAGTTTCTCTAGGAGAATGCTGGTGGGAAACAGTGTCAAAGGCTTCACTAAAGTTCAGGTAAACAACATGCACAGCCTTTCCCTCATCCACCAAGCAGGTCACCTTGTTATAGAAGGAGATCAGGTGAGTCAAGCAGGACCTGCCTTTCATGAACCCATGCTGACTGGGCCTGAACCCTTGGTTGTCCTGTATGTGCCTCGTGATAGCACTCAGGATGATCTGCTCCATAAACTCCCATGGCACTGAGGTCAGACTGACAGGCCTATAGTTCCCCAGATACTTCTTCCAGACCTTCCTGTAGATGGGCCTCACATTTACTGATCTGTCCCAAAGTGGTAGAGTCTTCTAGAAGGGCAGTCGAAAGCAGGAAAAGGACCAAAATTTTCTGTGGGGTACTTGGTCTGTTTTCAAGAAACTCAAAACTTTTGGGAGAGGTTTAGTTTACTTTGCATGAAGGTTAGTGGCCTGCCAGACGGGAGGACCGAGCAGACATGCTGCTGTGGCAGGCAGGTGGACTGTCAGGGCACTACTGGCACCAGATTAGAGTGCATTATGGTTCTATGGACATCTGCAGCTCTCAGCCTCCTTCATCCTTCCACTCTACTCCATTTAAAAAAAAAAAGGAGATGGGGGAAGAATAAAAACAACCAGAACTGCACATTGATAATTATAAATAACCACCCAATAAGTGGTGGAAATGTAAGTGGAAGCAACAGCCAATCAGAAACCCAACCATTTCATTTATATGCTATGCTGTTTAGAAGACCAAAATACCTGGTTTTAACTTTTGCTCTATACATTTGGTAGCTAATCATCACAACTTTTGTTATCAGAGCTACCAGAAATAGTTTACTATGTGCAACAATATTTTCATTATAGCATACTTAATAAAATATATTAAAAAAAAAAAAGCAGATATTGTACTTACATACATGCATAAATACACGAAGAGATTCTGGTGAAAATAAGGATTTATTATCACCATCAAGCAATGAGATCTTTTACAGTATGGCATTGTTCTCTCTGGTTTTCCACAGATATGCATTATCTTGAAATAAAAATTAATGGCTAGTGAAATAATGCATAAATATACCATTTGAAACACTCCCTCAGTTGATGAAACTTTCTACCTTTGAAGAGTCACCAGCTCAAAACACTTAAAGGAAATTAAATAAACCCCAACCCTCAGCATATGAAGAGTTGCTCTTCACTTTCTTACCACTGGTTTATAAATCATTAGCTGCATTAACTGACAACAGCCTCAAGTCCACATATTGCCATTTTTTCTAGTTGCTGTTATTTTACTAGCAAGAATCTGAACCATCTTTGTGACAACATTAACCCTCACCACTTCTACCCTTTTACAGAATCCAGGGCTCACTTATTATGGAGAGCTAGGGAGAGGCTACTACAGGAAACAAATTATATCCAGAACAGCAAGGAGTTTCTTTCAGAATGCATATTTTGAGCTGTAATCTTTAAAAAGAAAGTTCTTAATTATTACCGAGAGAATATTAGTTTATACAAAGTGTATTTACATATAAAAAAACATGATATAGATATATATATATACACACACTATGTATATATTATTGCAATCATCACCAAGTCTCAGTGTATGTCCAGTACAGTTCCTGGTTTTAGAGTGTTTACTCCACTGCTTTTCAGAGGCTGTATTATCCTCATTTAATATTTCCCACCTGCAATGTAGCAAAATAGAGGAATCTGTCCAAAACCTGCATTTTTGTTGATGATGTCTTCCTCCCAAGAGGGCAGCTGTTTTTTCTGTTATCACTTCCACGTGGTTAGGACAGGCTTTCCCAAATCTCTTGCACGATTGCCTTTTACTCCAGTGGATGGCCCAGAACGACTTCGCAAGTCACGGTCGGGCCCATCACTTTGTGCCATCTCTTCATCATATCTGAAATAAGATAACAGGTTCAATGCCTTGTCCTGCTATTCACTGCCCAGATTAGACTGGGTCCTCCATATTCTCTTTTGCTTCCTTATTTAGCACTGAAATTTAATACAAACTGTTCCACACACAGCTTTACACAGGCACAGTTTGAGATGCAACTATTATTGAAGGAAATACACTGCTGCATGATGTTACAGTACAGATCAACTGAACTATCTGCAGCTACTTTTTGAAAGAAACAAATCAGCTGGCAGCTTTGGCTGAGCTCCTGATTTTGTGAAATTTTATGCTTGTGAAATTTCCCCATGTACTTCTGTATTTCTCCTTACTACAGAGGTCTGTGGTTAAGCAGGAACATCAGTCCAATGGTGGTTTAATGAAGTCTTAAGCTGTTGCTTCCAACAGAGGATTGTTAGCTGCAGTGTTAAAAAACTCCAGTGTTGCATCAGAGACAGCAGGGAAAGAAGAAGGTGAACAAACAACAGCGTGCTTAAGTTACATGCATTTGATGATCTGTATTTTGTAATGCTTAACCACAGTGACAAGTTCTTCAAATATCTAAGCCTATTATGACCTCAGATAACCTCAGTATATACTTACCTCTCAGCTGCTATGCAAATTCCACACAGAAATTGACTATAAATGCATAATTATAATTATCAAAAGATAATATGATGATGTTTTGTAGAAAAGTCACAATATATACTCAGTGACACTATTGATAGGTATTTGCAGCTACCATGGATATAACATTCATCAAAACCTAAATCATAATTCAGCCAACATTTATGTTTAACTGTCTTTACTAGTATATAGAAAGAGTATTTATGATCAGTATGAACTAGAGGATCATCTACATGCATAACCACATTCCTGAGGTACTGAACAACTGTACCACTAGTACTGGAGAACCTGTCTGAACATTTCCTCAAAAAATATGAAAAACTGTATCATCATATGGTATTTACATCAGTATTCTGCTGCATAAGACCAATCAATCCTAGATAAAACCTCTGGACATTCCAATATAAAGACCTCCATCTCCTTAATGTCTCTCTCTGTAATACACACTGGAGAATTTAAAAAATATCTTGACAACTCATTATTATTGCATCCATGAATTACAGGAGTCAAGAGGCATCATTTCTGTGAATTGAGAGAAAATTTGTATCAAATAGCTATAATATCCATTTAACTATCATCTATATAATACTCTCAATATAATTAAAGCTCTACACATGTAGAAGACAAACATTCTCTTTGTCTCTGTGATTTAAATCTAGCTGCTGGAAGCTCAGAAGGTGCAGCAGTAGCATTCCCTCTGCAGATGAGGCAAGGCAGTTTGGCTTTAATGCACTCCCACATCCAATGTTGCCACTGAAGCTCCAAAAGAATGAAGTGGTACTTTGTGTCCATTTTTCACATCAGAATGAAGTTTATCTTATCCCTGTGCTCTAAATCACACATTAAAAAACTGAGGTGACTGAAAAAACACTTGCAGTTATCTAAAACATTGATAAAACTTACAAGACTTCATAATTGCCAAGAACCTCTTTTGGTGGAGATTTATTCCATTTACAGTCTGGAATTTCCCCATTAGGCACAGCAATATTAAGTGTGTCATTAATGAGATTGTATTTCAGGATGCGATCGTTAGCAGTACTGGAAGTAAGAGAAGGGGAAGCATTAACCTAAAAGAGAAAAAAAAGTCTGCATTGATTTTTTGTGTGGTATATGGTTCTCCAAACAGCATGTGTGAAGACATTATGTATTTTTTGGGAAATGAAGATTTAGCATCTGAAAGCACATCTTGCACTTCCTCAGACACTGGAAGGAATCCCCCACTGGGCATTTTTCTTTTTACATAAAAACAAAAGCACCACACCACTAAATGTCTGCAGTGTCAGCCTGAAGATTTCTGTTGATACACCAGAGCAAATCAGACAACACAAAAATTTGTTTCATTTTCTAAGCTTACATGGACCCATAAATTTTAGTGCTTACAATTTGCCTGGTTCACTCCAAGAGCTGTTACATACAGGAACCTGTGGGTTCCTTCCAGGTAAACAGCTTTTCTTTATGTTCTTAATCCCCTGGTAAATTGTGAGCTGGAGAAACAGATATGTGCTCACTACTCAAAGCACTACAGTGCATCTTGTTTTAATTAAAAGTGGGGTTCATTTGACATGTCTTGTGTTCTCCATTTATTACGGAGAAGTGGTATCGGAACAATAAACAATTTTTTTCTTTTTGAATAAAGTCCATTTAACTTTGATCTTCCACTTTCAATTAGACAGAGAAGAAAGAGGGCTGGATAAAATTTATGTTGAACATACAGATACAAAGTTAATACACTGAAGAGAAATTTAGGTAAAAAAAAAAAAGCCTTCAAAATATCTCAGTTATCTTTTGTGTGCCCCTTTTATTTCCCCTCAACCTGCAACATTACGGTCACGACAACATTTAACACTTAAGTTTGATGTTATACTCCATGGGGGCAACACAGATTTTCCAGCTACTGGTACAATAGCTAATGGGGCTGCTAACTTCAGACTGCCTCTGAAGTCCAATTGTATGAATTCCTCAGGTTTAAAAGACAAAACAGAAAGCCACAAACAAATAGAAATACCAAACAAAGGGGAAACAAAAGCAGGCGCTGGCTAGGACAGCACATGGCCTATTTTGCATTCCAATGTTTTTCTCAATCCACTTACCTGAGAAACAAAAGATACTGTTTCAGAAGAGGAAAGACTACATTGAAATCTACTTAGTTTTGTTGTACAAAATGAGAAGGAAGGTTTTTTCCCCATATTTCATGTAACTTTACCTCAATTAGCCATGGTTTAAGCTTGTCATCAATGATAATGTCATATCCATAACACTCAAAGCAGTGTTTATCATTATTCATTACAGGCTAAAAAATAGACAACAAATATGTATTAAAATCAACATTTCAGTAAGTAACTTGATTACACAGTTTGTTTGCCAAAAATCAGCAATGCAATTATGTTATGAGTCTTCTACAACAGTTTTCATTGTTGTAACTCTAATACATGCTTGCTAACTAGTCAGTTTAGGACTGCCTCTTTTTTCCAAGCTGTAAGTAAATACTCCAATGATAATGATTGTAAAAATGCTAAGTTACCTTAATTTTCCATTATGCTTCCAGTGTGAAAAGTGTTTTCATACTTTGCAAAATTGATAACAATATTTAAAGCCTGCATGCATCAAGAGAAATAAGGAAGTTTAAAAATTTACATAACAGCTGCACATAATTGTGAATTCTTTAAACTCCAGAAGAAGAAGACTTACTCAAAGACATTTCTTTTATTATGCTGCTGTAACTATGCAGAAATTTGAGGTCAAACAACTACCAGATAATTTTAAAAATTCTAACTAGCTCAAGTCAACTATCATACCAAAAGCTAAGACAGATCAAGGACCAAGCTGTGCTTAGATGCACATCCTCTGGAGAATGAGTAGTTTTCCAGCATCTGCTAAACATTTGCAGTCTGCACGGTAAGACTTTTCTTCTATGCAAATCTTGTCAATCTTTTAAAGAAACCTTTGTAACAGGTCAGTGAGATGTTCTCCCCTACACCAATAATCAAAGCTTTTAATTTCTTCAGGGAGTGTGGGGGGTGAGGGGAGGAAGAAGCATGTCTCATTACATTTGCCATTGTCAGATAGAGGACCAAAACATTTCACACTCAATAATTCTGCTCAATAATTCTCCTCTCCCCTCCCCTCTCCTCTTCAAAGGTCTTCTAACGTTTGGATTGAATCCCTTTTCTTCTCACATCTGGTTGCAAATATGATGGCATGGCATAGGCTGAGCTGAGCCATGCTTCCCCACCTCCCACTGATACTAGCTTCATGACCTTGTCCCTCTTTCTTGTGCTGATTCTGGTGTTCATCTGGTCCTCCAGTGAGGTGATTCAGCTTATGACACTGGCAGAATACTAACTCATCAATAAAGCAGGAGAGTAACTGTCACTTAAGCGAGTGAGCTGATTCACCTCATGATGCTGCCAGGACCAATCCAAAGAGATGACAGAACTTGGGAACAGGACAGTCCCTGGCAACAGTGAGCTCTTCAGCTACCTCAGCTGTGGTAACACAGAGTGATACCTGCTCTCTCATGTAATCACAGGATGTTCCTCTGACACTAGAAAGTCACTCAAGCAGAGGATTGGTTGCTACTTTTTAAATAAGAGTTCATAATAACTATGTGACTTGTGTATGACAGAGGTGCAAGTAAGTTATGTAACTCTGCTGAACTAATAACCTTATGTTTTCCCTGATAAATTGTCCTCCAGAGCTATTTTTTCATTTGACACATTTGTTATTGCTGAAATGACGTCACACACCTTGGCAGAGCTTAATGCTATTCACAAGGGCACTATCAAGTCATTAAATAGTTCACAGAGCCCTCACGGAGGCAGATTTGTTCAGTTCTTCAATATGCACAGATAGCTCACCCACCCACTCAAGACTCAACTTCACTCAGCTCAGGGAAATCCAGAGGGAACAAAATTGCAGAAATCAGCATCAGCACCAACACCATCACTCAAACAGGAGGAAGCAGATTTCAGGAGGGTTGATGGCAAACTCACTTCCATGGTTATGAGAAGCCTGCAGCAGTCATGCTGTGGCTGGCAGCATTCCAGGAACAGTACTCACCGCAACGGCCTTCAGTGACTGCACAATTATCCAGTGAATTTCATCAAACAACTTGTTTGTGACTTCCTTTCCACGAGTACTCTCCAGATACAGGCGTAAGTTACTCACTGTCCACTTGCCTCCATGGATATGATTGTAATCATCCTGAAGAGTTAAGGAGTTAATTCAGTCTAAAATTTTCAAGTTGTTCAGCAGTTTTGTTTCATTCACACAAGAAGCCCACTTATACTTACATACAAGTATTGCTCTAAAAACTAACTCAGCAAATTGTTTTTGCTCTATTTTACAGCATTATGAAGAGTTCAGCTTTACTTTGAACTGCCCTCTATATAAACAACTGGCTTTATTATAGCTGGATATGTTTATATCACACACTTTAAATCATTAAATAAATCTGTCTTAGAAGAAAACAACAACTGGCACTTTGACAGTTTTATATTAAAACATAATTTATGATTTGGAGATACAAGTTTTAAAATGTGAAAGGAAAGAATTGAACTTTTTCCTCCTCTGGGGATAAGGGAGAAATAATTAAGTGAGCAATTGCTAAATTTCACTGAAGTTAGCTATTTTAAAATGCAGCACTTGAAAGTGCTTGTCTGTGTTTATTCATTCAGAGTGACTTCTCTGTTTCCTGAAAGGCAAACACAGTGTCTTCTTAATGGTGCTACTGAAAACAGCCACATTCAAGAAGACAGTGAAATGACACCTGAATTATTTTTAAAGGTTAATTTTTCAAGCAATTCAATATTTTGATATAGAAAAGAACCTAAATGCTACTTAATAAGGGCAAAAAAAAAGAATTTACCTTGTGTTTGTCTTTTCAGAGGCTACAGGCTCTGCACTACATTCTCTTTAAAAAGAAAGGCAAGAGCAAACTGAGATTACTCTTACTGATGGAAAGACTCACATTCTGTCTTCTAAGACAAGGTCAGAGAACCCTCTATCTATTTTTAGGCTTTTTCTACAGCTCCCTCCTCAGCACATTTGGAAAACTGGACTGGACAAATAAAGATCTGAAACATGGTTCTCAGGACTTGCTGCATGGAAAAAAATGTCTTGAGACCAGATTCCAGCAAGGGAACAGAGATCAAAGTTCCAAACTTCTTTGCATTTCCGAACAAGTACCCAAATCAAAATAGATTGCAACTGGGTAGAGCTTTACACAATCACAGCTGTTTAGTTAAAACTATTCGAAGTAGAATATTCTACTAGGTTACACAGATCACTAGCTGAAAATAATTAAGTAGAAGAATTACTGTTTTATTGGCATTACACATGCAGAAAATAGCTAAGAACTGTATTTTCCAGCACAAACATTATGATGGGTAAATTGACTTATCCTCCTTTCTTCATTTTACCCTTTTCCTCTCCCCAATCCTGACTTGTACACTTCAAATTAGGGAGGATCTTCCACGAGCTTGTAGGGTACAAACATGCTGGAACTCTGCAATTCACATAGGGCTTCGAGGAAGGATTAACAGCTCGAACTTAAAAGAGTTTTTTCCGGGTCTCATAATAATTTTGATAAGATTCACATTGGGTTCTTCGTCTAAAACTGTGGAGCCTAATTGCCTCCAAAGTTAGTGATGTTTAAAACAGTAGGGCTGATGGGATGGAGCAAATTTACGTGAAACTTCTCTCACTTCCTTCTGCAAAACTCAATAGATTTTAGTGATTCAGAATTTATAAAAAGTACTTAAAATACTGTAGTAATGATGCCACGTTTTTAAGCTGCTATTTCTATACCTATTTCTGCTGTTTTTTCTTCTTTCAAAGTGACCTCACCACTACTTTCACTTTTACTTTTACCTGCAAGCAGTCTTGAAGGCCACTCTTTAGCTCGTTGAGAATATAAAAGGGTGTGCACTAACAGGATAGCAACAGAGCAGGTGCCTCACCTCTTCACTGCTACTGGCAACTGTGCCATGATTGATGCTCTGAATTGTCTGGAATCTGCTTTCACCATAACTAATTCTCAGTGTGCCCTGTCAAACCGTGATGTGTTTGAAGCACTTCATAGATCAGCACCTGAGCAAGAAAACATTTGTAGTGCTGAAAAATGTCACATTTTGACACTTATCCTGGTTTACAACTACCACCATAAGTGACACTTATAGTTCACATTGTTGTTACAGGAATACCCAGATAACAGCAGTTCTGCTATGCTGCAGATCCTGCAGAACAGTAATGGACAAGGCACATTTAGCAAGGTTGTAATCCTATGTATCTTGTGTGTGAACCTATGTGTATACACATCTGAATCTATATGTGTGAGTGTACACGTGTGTACATACAGACACGTTTATTTTCCATAATCTTAAAATAAAACCTATGCAATTAGGAAGTGGGACAATAGAGCTTTAATTACTCTAACAGAAGCATGGTTTATAAATCAGAGACATCCGCTAAACACGCAGAAGGGACACAGTCATCATCATCAAGTGGATTCCCTACAGGAAAAAGGCTTGGGCAGTGATAGTGCATGCCCATCTGTTCAGGTCACCCCTGACCCACTAGCCTTTCCTCCCACTAATTTCAGCCTGTTTTGACACAGGCAAGTGCTGTCAGAGCCATCAGGCTTCCACAGGTATTAAGAATGTCAACAGCAAATTACAGGAAAGAACTGCTCTGCAGACAGAACTCCATCTTTGTCCATTCAAGAGGAAGCCACCAGCTGGCCAGGCAGCAAACATTTCTTTCCAAGATCACAACTGCACATTTCCTTTCTTACCCAGAAAAGTAAGGTGTGGGCAAGGGGAAAAATAGGAAGAAGCTGGAAAGTATTGTGATGACAAAGTACTGGAAAATAGGAAAGCTGAATTAACCACACAGGAGAGAGGGAGGGAGGGGGAGATCAGGAAGGTGATACTGAAATGTCATTATACAATACAAATCCACAGGAACCAGGCTTCATTAATTCCACTGCTCATGGAATCAATTGCTAAGTGAGCATATTAGCATTGAAATGACAGGAGACTTGAAGAAAACCCTTACTTTCAATGACTGCAAGTCAATACTGAAGATATCAGTCTATTACAGAGCTGCAAGTCATTATCTTGCATACTTTCTATCTGCAGTCTTCTAAACTTATTTTTAAGTTCAGATTGAAGTATTTTAATCACAAGATGATGGAAAACATGACAAAACCTTTGTATTCCCAGTTTTTGGGACAATTTAAGAAAATCAGTCTTGCTACAAAAGAGCACCTAAGAACTCAGTACACTTACCCCATGTTTCTGAATGGCAACGTTTGTAAGATGCACAAACATGTTATCCAGTTCACTCGTGCTTGGTGTGTATTTCACTGTGCAAAACCGGCAAAATCCAAGTTTATACCTTAAATGCAGAAAGTCATTAAAACATGTCAAACCCCAGCAAGAAATAAGGAAAAGAGCATCCTAGGATACCACATACATGTTAAACTTCTTTGTGCAACTAGAGCAACATTATTTTGACTACAAAGAACACTCTCTCTGAACAAAGTGCAAATATAAACAGTCTTACATGTAACATCTCAGTGGACGGTAAGTAGATACTAAAACGTAGAGACGAAGATCAAACTTCTTCCCACCAATGAGCAGTGGGTTGTTGATATAGAGAGAAATGACATAGGCTTCTTTGGAGGACTGAGATACAAACCTGAAAAACACAATTCCTATTTCAGAATGTCACAACTGCAATCATATAATCTCTAAGTCTTTTTCTTCTTTAGAAGCAGTTTGTAAATTTTGGATTGACTGAAATCTTACATCTTTTGCCAAGACAATGTGTTAAATTTTAGTGGTTAAAAATACCAGGCATCAGGCATCACATAAAAAAAAATCAAAAATACTAAACAGATGACCAAGATCAATTAACCATTTAAACTCAGTTCTGCAGCTAACTGGTTAGCTGCATGAGCCATATGGAATGCAGCTCTACAAGCCAGTCCTTCCCTTGGAGAGCATTTAGAGCTTGGCATAGTTGAGACAAGCAAAGAGCTTGTATTACATTGCCTCCATTAGTCAAGGTCTTGCACTCCTAGAATATTTGTATTTATGCTTGGTGTGCAATTGCAAACCACTACGAAAAGCTAAGGTAACTTTCTGCTTGTGACATCCTTCAGATTTCAAGACAAGCAGAAAAAAAAGAAAACAAACCAAACAACCAAATTCAAGTGATATTCAGCAAGTCACACTATAACAGGAAAAAAAAATAACATTAGTTGTGTGAACAAAACTTTTCTAGTTGGAGAAAAACACAGATTGCTAACCTGTTTGATCCACTTGGAAGCAGATCAACAACATGACGTATTATTTTGTGCTCCAAACGGATAATGTATTTCTTTCATATATATGCATTCTTCCTTTGTACCAATTTAAAACGTGATATAATACAGATTAAATAAAATAATTACTGAAATTGCCT